CGGCCGGGGGGGGGGGGAGAGTTTGTTTGCGTGACTGATGAATGGAAGTGGATTGGGAACAAAACCACTTCCATTTTAGTGCCGAGCAGTTTCACACTAACGGGGCTATTTTTACGGTTGAACGAGAAATTTGGTGTTTTCGATCGCGCACAAAATTGGAATTGAAGTTCAAAGTTCCAAACATGAATATACCGTCGGCCGAAATACTGGAAGATGAAGACATAAATTGGTACATATCAGTTCATAAGGAAACTGCACTTTGCGTTACGACTTTGGAAACTGGCTTCCCAAGTGTTGAAATGGAGAGGGATACAAATTACAGCCAACAATTGTTCGTCGCAGTGGAAGATCACCACTGTATAGGACGACGAGCTCAATCATCAGCAAAGTGTCCCAAACAATGATGCAGCGGATACTCCAATTTTCGATGTTCGGACTGCACCATTACATGAGATGTTCGACGATCCTTTACATGGTACAAATACTGGTAATATTGCTGACATTGACGAAGAACTATTATCACATTCCAAAAGTCCGAATACATGCGACTGGATTTCCACTGTCAATACGTCGGATCTTACCGAAAGGAAAATATTTTTTTTACTAAGAAAGAGTTGTACTTGAGAATTCGTTTACTTGCATTGCGACAGAAGTTTCAATTTCAGGTTAGTAGGTCAAGCCAAAAAATGTTAACTATTGTATGTGCCGACGATAATTGTAAGTGAATGTTACGTGCTTCGAGTGTAAAGCAGTTCGCCATCTTCATGATCCGCAAATTCAACAATGTGCACACATGTTCCATAGATTATCGTCGTAATGCACATCGACATACCACTAGTTCCGTAATTGCTAAGCAGATTATAGGAAAATTGGATAATCTGTACGGATCGTATGATCCTACCGCTATTGCTCGTGACATGGAACGTGAGTTTGGTGTGAAAATTAGTTACCATCAAGCACGTAGGGGAAAAGTCGTTGCTTTATATATGCTACATGGTAGACCGGGTGATAGCTTTTAAAAACTTTCTTCGTAATGTCACGTCCTAGGAGAGAGTAACCCGGGGACAGTAACGCACATCGAAGTAGATTCTCGTAACAGGTTTCACTACCTTTTCCTAGCTTTCGGTGCAAGCATTTGGGGTTACCTGCACTACATGAGGCCCATTTTTTGTGTTGATGGCAGTCACTTGAAAGGTCCGTACAAAAGTACCCTTCTACTGGCAACTGCCCAAGACGTCATCAAACAGATTTATCCGTTAGCGTGGGGAATTGTTGATGCTGAAATGAATAGATCGTGGATGTGGTTTTTATCAAATTTGAAAGATCTTATAGGTGACTCGGACGAATTGGTGTTTGTTTCGGACAGGAAAAATAGTATTGAAAATGTCATTGCCCACCTATTTCCTTGGGCTCACCATGGGTGCTGTGTTTGGCATATGGAAAAAAATTTAATCCAGCGGTATAACAACATAAGTTCAATATTTCTTTTCAAAAGAGCCGCAAGAACATACCGGACCGAAGAGTTTGAAAGACTTATGGGACAATTTCATAGGGTTAGTGCAACAACGTACCGATACTTGGAGCAAGCAGGTTTGCCATTTTGGTCACGTGCACTATTTGTTGGCCAATGGTACAACATTTTGACCAACAACAACGAAGAATCTTTGAACTCAATGTTGAGACATGCCCGTTTGTTACCGATCACATGCTTAGTGGAACACATTCGACATACTATGCAGAAGTGGTTTTATGAACGTCGAGCAAGTGCAACTGCATGCAGTACCGTTCTGTCACCAACGATGGAGAATGAGTTACGGACGACGTTCGAAGCAGGTACTAGGCTGTGAGCGCATGGCTTGGCAAATAACTTAACACAAGTTGGAATATCCAACGACACGGACATTGTAGACTTTTTCGAAAAGACGTGCACTTGTCGTGAGTTCCAACTGAATCGTATGCTGTGCATTCACGCAACTCGTGCTGCTTGCTTGAGAGGTAAGTCATTGTACGATCTCTGCTTACCGTATTACACATCCAAGTACTGAAAGTGTGCCTATGGAGAAGCTATATATCCTGTTCAGTGTGAAGTGGACTGGAATGTTTCACCCGAAATTACAGGTACTCCTATTATGCCTCCTAGTGTGCGTCGTCCTCCAGGTAGAACACCCACACGATGTAAGCGATCCAGACACGAGTGCACCACACGGCTCAGGAAATGCACTCGCTACGGTAGACTTGGTCATAACCGGACCACATGTTCGAACCACACTGTACCACGTCCGATGTAAGCAGCATTTTGTACGTGAGTGGTTGAAGTTGTAAGTGAAGTGTTCCCCTGATGTTATTTATATATGACAATGTAAATATTGTATTATTGTTTTCATTCTCTTACGCGTAAACATTACTCTTTGTTATGTTAACATTTATAGAATGCAAATAGGCACAATGCACTGCATAACTATGTCGAACCAAAATATAATTTTGCTGTGCATAACATTGTTGCCATTGTTGACACATGCAAATAGAATGTACGGAATATGAAAACTTCAACCATTATACAAGTTTCCTTTGAAATACATATTACGAACACATCATTTGTAGCGCATAACACTATCCGCAAAGTTCACAAACTACGTTCAATGTACACATTAGGTTGTGTTCGTTCAGCCAAACTACATGTTATATGAATATGCATACTACATACATAGAAAATTTGTCAGTAAATCCCGACAGTTCATCTGTCGTTCTCGATAGATGGTTCTTGCCATTCTCGATAGTTGTGCGACACTCCGCTTAAAAAAATACAAAAAACACATAACTTGCCAACGGGAGTTTCCTACTTGCTACAGAATTGGTTAAGCGTCACAAAATTCATCCATTACAAAAAAACCACTACACATGCATACGTAGAAACCCATACACGCAACAAAGCCGAACTCTTCACTCGGACCAACACTTGAACCTTCTTTCCCACCGTCATCATTCGAGCTGATGACAATTAGCTCGGGAGATGGAACGCGACCCTGCCCCTCATCCTCATAACGTTGAATTTCGTCTGCATCCAAAAATGGGACCACCCATTGAAGCACATTTCTCGGAGACTCACCTTCATCACTTGCAACTTCGTCCAGGTTCGGAAAGGGAATGACAGTGATGGCTCTCCTACCACCATTCGATCTCACTTCCTCATCATCCGAAAAAATTACGATGGGACATAGCGAGGTTGAACCGGGTGTCGGCATCGGCTCCTGAACTGCCAACGGTGAATTGCTTCCCGTGGACGATGCCATTATTTTCATACGAAGAAACAGACTTCAAATACTTTGATACGTTCCTGCTACAAGATGCCTCAGAAAGAGTTTCATATATCCCACTTGAAGAGTGCAAGCCTTGCTTTATACTGGAAATATATGAGGACATCTAAAGCAATTTACCAACCAACTACCATTTCATTTCTACTTAACACTTGATTGACCATTGGTGTGATGGTTTAGTGTGATGGTTAAGGGTGTAAGTGTACTTTAATACAGTCCATAAATGGTGAAAATTATGAGTAAATTGTACCCATTTGTAAGACATGCAATGGCAACATTCTTGCAATGAATTTGTACTTACATTACTTTACAGAATTTTTGTAGTCCTTAGTCACAACTAAATACAGTTTTTTAATTCTAAATCATATGAATTGCATGAAAAATTGATAAAATTAATGTCCCTGCCATTGAAGATGAACATTGGGTGACTTTACAAGCCATTTTTAAAATAAACTTTAATTTTTACGAACAAGCGAATTTATACTAAAACACATGTCAAAGATAACACCGAATTTTTCATTCTACGGTAATGCGAATTTTACAATAATCATTGTCCTCGATCGTTCGACCACACTCCATTAGACACAAGATCATTTCATACCATAACTCATTTGTATAGGTATAACACCTTCAACTCCAATGAAATTAAAGTACAGAATACTACTACTTCATCAAGTACTACAAACAAATGTCCTGTCTCAATGTGCGTTCCACTTAACCATATCCCCATATGGAATTGAAGTAATCACATAAACCCCCTTGACATCATCAACCACATCATATGTGATACGATGTAATCGTCTCCACAGATGCACCTTCAGGCATGAACCCAGGTTTGGATCCCTTTGGCTGTTATTTGGTGCTATTAACTACACATCTTCATCATTGTACGAAAATTCGTCATCACACCTCGATGAAAGCACATGCTCAACTGAAAAATCAGCCCTCTGAATTAATCAGCTGCCAACCTGCATCAGGTGTCCGCTAAAGTGAAATGACAAAGCAGAGCAAGTTCGTAACTATCCATCCAATCAACATAAGAACTAGAAAATGTACTCACCCATGGAGTAGAAAACGTGCAGACAATCTAATCACCAAAAAACGAACCCTTTCACATATCATGAACAATACAGGCCATAAATATAATGGTAAAGCCAACATACAAGACAAGAAAGGTATCACACCAGACCAACACAGAGGCTCATGTTTGCTGGTTAACAGCTTCAGGATGGTTGTAGTTCGGTCGACTATAAAATTCATAAGGAGTCCACACTCCACTTGGTGTTGAGGCTTGGTGGTGGCAGGCAGATTATTGTCAAAACCCTTACTGGGAAGACAATAACTTGTGAAGGTGAAAGCTCCGACACCAGCGATAATGTTAAAGCTAAAATTCAGGACAAGGAAAGAATCCCACCAGAGCAGGAGTCAACTCTGCACTTCGTGCTGAGGTTGCGGGTAGGCATGCAGATTTTTGTGAGGACTCTAACAGGAAAAACCATCAGTTCATGTTGACAAGTCATATGATTGGGATGTATAAGAATGACGATATATTCATTTTAGTTATGATGTTGATGTACTCTTTCACATTTCATGAACAATACATGCATTATGTCGTCAACGCATACACACAAAATGTACCGACAATATCATCTCATGCTTGCACTAAACATTTATGTACTGTACATAAGACAATTTAACATGTAGCATATGGGTGAGCAAACGTATCCGTCCATAAAACAAACCAAATTAAAAGCATGTCTTTGTTACCAACAACGTATCTACTACTACATCAGACCTTACCAAACCATTTGAACTCACTCATTTCTTTACTCTCTTTGCCCTTCCCCTCGTGTATGGCGTCCGGGTAGGTGGTACAGGACATCGAACACGAGTCGATTGCCGCCTGTTTGTGCTGCCCACATTGTCTCCCTTCTGGGGTACGATCACTTGTGCCGGCAACTCTGTGCCAGTACCCATTTAAAACATTTCAGCTCGAGCTTAGCGAAATGGTTCTCTGTGAATTACGCCACATAGTCGTGGAATAAGATTATTGAAGGAAAAAATGCACATACTGTCCACCTTTGTGACGTCATGGGTTGATGGGCCTTCCTCGTTGTCATCGTTGGGGAGGGTGGGGACGATCTCTCCTGGGTCTAGTTCAAAGAAAATATGGTAAAATGGACAAATACAAGATATGTATTATCATTTGCGTAGGAAGGAAGTGTTTCGTAATAATGGAAAAAATTACGCACGTATCGTTCATGTCCTGCATGTCACCTTCCTCCGCACAGTCGTCGTCCTCCGGGCTCTGTTCATCTCCGCCTTCCCTGTCTAGTTGGAAGAAAGAGAACAAATGAATGAACGAGTGAAATTGAATACATATGCATATGACGAGATGAGATGACAAAAGTTGACAAAAAGAACGCACATACCGTTCACCACATGCATTTCACCCTTGTCTGCATGGTTGTTGTCGTGTGGGCTCCGTTTGTCGCTGCCTTCCCCGGCTACTCGAAAAAAATAAGAATTTATTGAACGACTTAAATTGAAGATAGTAAGTAAAGGAGAATAAAATAGGACAAGAAAGATATCACGAGATGAGATGACATAAAATTCAAAATTTACGCACGTACCGTTCCCCTCCTGCATTTTAGCCTCGGCAGCACGGTCGTCGTCATGCGGGCTCCACACGTCGCTACCTTGCCCGTCTACTTGGAAACCAAAAAAAAAAAATTAGTATTACAGTCAAATTCAATAGATTAGCATATCACGAGATAAGATGACATCGAAGACCAAAAATGTGTTACATAGAACTAACGGACATACCATTCACCTCCAAGTTCCCGATAGGGAAAAGACGACCACCGTCATCCGGGCACATTTCCATGTCGCCTCCATGTACATCTAAGTAATTTGACAATTTCAAAAATACGTTTGTAAGCAAACGCATCGGAAAAATTGCACACATGTTGTAAATGGAAGTAACAGTAACATAAACTCATACCTTCGTGGGGGTCGTCCCAAAGGTTTGGCTCATTCATGACCGGAGCTACAACGGAAGTGTAGGTGCCACTAGACGGGGGCACCAAGGTAGATATGAAGTCCCTCAGTCTGGCGAACTCCTCGGTGACGTGCTGCATGATTTCAAACTTCATGGTCCACAACCTCATCTCAAAGAGGATGCGCTGGTCATACAACATGCCCTCCACGTCTTCCCTCGTCAAAGTCGCTCCACCACGCGTACCCTGAACCCCAGAGGTATGGGGCAACCACTGGAGTGGGTAATGCACCCGACTGTCGTCCCGAGGCATCCACTTCGTCCTCGCACTCACTACCACCGGTCTCGCTGGATGGGTCGCGACCGCTTTCTCCACTGTCAGCAGGCTTAGACCCATCGTCGTCGTTGCCCTCTGGTGTCTGATGGCCATCGCTCGCGGATGTGTTAACATCCTCGGCCCCTACACCGGACTCGTTATCATGCCCATCACCCGCAGCGCTACCGTCATCTCTCCCACTAGCTGGTGCCGCCTCAT